TTTTTTACAAAGTTTTATTGGACTGCATCCACACCCATCAATTCACCTTTTGTCTACGGTTGCTTTGGCAAAGGGCGGAACTGAGTAATGTTGCAACAGAAACATAGAGCCCACTAAGCCTGAAAAATTTACTATCTGGTCCTTTAGAGAAAAAGTTTGCTGACCCCCTGGCTTATATTTACTAAGATTAAAAATGATAAAATGGAAGAACTGTAATATTTACCTGGATTTTGAAATAAATCAAAAATTCAAACTAATATAGGTTCTACCTGACTAACTGGAGGGCCTGGAACTTTTCCTAGGAACCCCATCAGTTTTTAGAACNTATTTAAAATAAGAAGTAGTAGTGGTATAGCAGTGATATGAGTGGGAAGAGGAGTATAAAGTGTAAAAACCAGGCAAATCTACACAATTTTAAAAATCTCGTGAGCAATGAATTAACAATTATTATTGTCTATTTTTATCTTTATTTTTTCCTTGACCTTAAAGACTCCTTATAGTTGTTATTTTTGTCCTTTCCCAACTAACCCATATTAATTCAAAAGGAGGTAATCATTCAATAAAGTAAAATCTGTTATAATAAAATAGCAAAAAGGAAATGACCCCTAAAGTAGAACGAATGTTTAAGAGTTATGGCTTCATTTCCTAGAAGTCCTATATTCTTAAAATAACTATAAAATTAAAAGGAAGCAAAAAAATTCTCAAGTTTTACATTGTTTTCTTAGATAGAACTCTATACATCGTTTGTCTGCTTGAAACCAAAATATTGTGTTTTTGTTACTTTTTGTGATGCACTGCACTAAGACCACACAATTCTGAACAAAGTTAATATGTGAGTTTGTTCACTCTTTTCAGATGAGAAAAATAAAAATCTAAAATATTTCAATTACGCATGAAGATATATGATGCACATCTTAACACAGCTTTGAGTGGGCGCATGTTCGTAGAACAAATCTTTGACTATCACATCTATATAGTATGTTTCCCTTTAGTTTACTACAGATGAATAATAAATTATATCAAGGGTCTGCAAACTACAGCCCAGAGGCTAAATCCAGCTCAAAACCTGTTTTTT